AATGTGTATGCAACTCAAATCGACCGGATAAGCGATTAGTCATTGCAAACAAATTCGACGTCTTTTCAGAAAACAACTCTCCAGCTCGTGTACATACGAAAAAATATTGTAAGTGTGCACAATTATACGATTTAGATTAAGCGTAGGAAAAGTTACATTATACATAACAAAATAAACCAGAAACGATCCATTCACATTGAGTCGATAGCACTAACAGATTTCTACACATCTAAATTAAGTGTCTTAATAGAAAGCGAGCGATATTACATTGTTATTAAATTATGTGCTTATTTATTTATTATTATTTTGTGCGAATAGTCTCGTGTGCAAACATTAATTTTAGGCAACCTACACGCAAAAATTCATACATCCAATCGATGCCTGTAAGTGTTTATTTCAAGTCCCACGCGAACGTCTAAAAGGTTGCTGCTGTTGCTGTTTTTTTTTTTTTTTGCTATTCTGGTTGACACATTAAACGCCCAAATAACTAGACTTTAATATTTCATAGGCATTGAAAAGTATTCTGTGTGACCTGATGCCATTTATCTTTTAGTCCACAAGAAATACTCTAATAAATCTTTCTCGCAAAAAGACACAACGCGTCTGAATAAATTTAACAACTACTTTATTAAACGACATATTAGCATAATACTCTACTCATAATGTACCGAATACTTGGCGAGTAATATTCAATAAAAAAAAAAAGAAAAATCACGATGCCTATCAAAAACGTATTTAAATATTTTCAAAAAAAAAACAAGATCTTAAAGACAACAAATCATAAAAAAAGTTACCGTACATCAGGATGGTTGTGTCCTACTTGTACAAGTTAAGTATATTGAAAATTAACATATACTGATATCGTAACACAGATAACAAAGAAAGCACGAAGAAAACAAAAAGGCGAGACAGTATTGTGAACGGGTTTATCAACGATAATCTGCCAATCTGTATGGTCTGTATAGTTTGTACGGAATGCGACTTACCTAAATTGATTTCTCTTCAACCGGTTCGGTTTTTTGAGTGATTAAAACGCTTGCTAGTAAATAAATGTACCTAAATAACTTAATTATAAATGTAAAGAAAATAGCTCCTTACTTAGACACTTACATAGATGCTGATCGAATTTCTAGTAAAAACATTTTTCAACGCTTTAATATTTTAATCACTTTTTTTTCAACCAAATAACTCTGAAGTAAACAGACAGATAAGTCTTCAATAGACATATACATGCATAATTCGAATTTCATTCAAGTCTTAAATAATTCATTATGTTAAAAACCGTCTTCAAAGCTCATAATTATGTGAGCACGATATTGTAATGATACCATACATAGAATAATTCAATAATTTTTATCTCTATAACACGTGCTTCCATTGATCAAACGTCAATTGATATTTGCAAAAATTATTTTTAAAAATATAATGAACACTATCAAACATTTTAATTAATAATAACATTCGATGAACAAGTACATTAATACTATCGTATATCGTACAATTTTTTTTTTAATTTTAAATCTTATTTATAAATTGTATAATCATTTTTAACATATTCAACACAATTTACAATATTTAATAACGTTAAAATCTCGTTTAAGCCTATTTCTCAATGTTTTATATAATACGACTTTATTAACCCAACAACTATATAGCTAATGTTATCTATATAACCCAACCGATATTCTTACACAATAATTTTCAAAATGCCCCGAGCAATTTTAATGAAAAATGGCGTTTATAATAACATAATTAGAATGGGAAGTTGTGTCGCACGACACGGAGTTACAATTGAACCAAAATTACATTATCTTAAACACAAAAATACAAACACAATATTTTTAATTTTCTGTTTAAAATTAATATATAACTTTAATACTATTAGGCTTTGAAATATTTTTTTAAAGTTAAAGGTTTTTTTTTAATATTTATGATTATAATTAGATAAAAACGAAAAATCATGTTTTTAATAAGTTTACACTTTTGAATTCTTTTCAGGGTCAAATTAGATAGTTTTATTTGTTCAAAATTATACACTATTAAAGCTCACCTTAATAGATTATGTGGAGTGAAATTGATATTCACTAATATTTAAAACGGACCACTTATAGTAAGCGGCATTTACTGCGAAATCGTTGGATAATTTAATTAAAAAACAATAATAATAATTCACTCACGAAAATAAAAACAAACCGCGAACTCGGCTCAACACTGACCGCGTGCTTCGGTTTTTAGAGGGAACGCGTGACTGGCAGCAAGTACAGTTGAAGCCCTCGACATCAGCACTTGTTGAGGTAGCGACGAGGCGGAGACATCTAGTGGCCAGTCGATTGTAGGCAAACCGGTCGCAACCTACGCCGACTGTCTTGACGTATGACATAAATGTATAGTTTGAAGGGTAAAAAGATAAGCACATAAAAAAAACGTCTTATAAATGAAAATTTGTATCTTAAAATCCAAGTCCATACCTAAGTAACCCTGAACTTCTTACTTCTTCTACACTAGCTTAATTATTCAAATAAAGTCGCAAAAATCATATATAAACTTTTATGATTATGATTAATGAAGTAATACAGATTATGGTTACTTTTTCTTAAACTATTACAGTAAATAGTTCAGCTTCATTCTAACATAGAAAATATAGATAACCAAATATGTCAAAATACAAGTTTTGATTAATCTAAATTATATTAAAAATTATTTAAAGAAAATTAATATTTTGCGCTTACTTTAAATTTCTAGTTTTTCTTCATAAGTTCAATCCAATTTTTTAAAATATCGTATACTATTAAATTCAAATCAAAATTATACTTATTAGTAAGTACCTTACAAATAACACTTATTTAAACGATTAACTGCACAAGTATCCGCTGGTTAAAACCTAGGAGAGTAAAAAAATATTTTAAAAAATATGTAACTAAAAGAAAACGAAAAAATACTATTAATCTCATATTTATTTTCGATTAATTAAGTGATTCAAAATGAAATAATCACTTCAAGTATTAGTTCCATTGATACATTAATCAGTATACAGTTAGACAATATATATTAAAATGAAATATTGTGTGATCAAACTCCAAAAAAATTGAATATAAAATTATTAAAACTTATTTGAGTGTGAAGAAGTTTTACTACATGCTAGATATTAGATGATAATCAATGAGTGAGTATTTAACTAAACTTTGTGCTAAAATTAATAACGTAAATTTTAGTACAGCAATATTTTTTTTTTAAATATAACTATAAAAAAATAATTTTTAAAACAGATTAATTGTACTTAGTGAGTAGTATTTATTTAATTAAACACTAATAATTTGTAAACTGAATAGTCATAGATAAGTTTGTTTATTCTATATTAATAAAGAATTATTTTATATCATAACTAATAGAATAGTATAACTATTATTATAGAATATAAAGAATAACTAAATTTAAATATATTTAAAAATAAATTATAAAAAAAATATCATAAATATACACTAGTTTATTTGAAACATAATTTTTAGTTTTAGTGATATCTAAATCAATATGAAATATATATTTAGATATAATCAGTACGTCCCTTAAAAATTATTTTGAATCATATGATAATCCTTACTTTTTGGCAATCATCTTGATTTTTAAAAATTTAGACTTTGCTTTATATTGAATTAGAAGTGATATTTTTACAATTATTTAAAGTACATTTAAAAAATACTCCACTCATTTTAGTTATTATTACACATGTTATGTGTAATTACAATTTATTAACTAAATTACAAAACTATAGTATCATCATTATGGTTGACCGTGTGGTATTAAGACTTACGATAATGATATGATAAGAATATTCATAATACCAGATAAATTATTTTTAATCATTTAAACCATAGTTAAACAATGTTTTTAAAATATACTAACACAAGGTTTATAAATACTAAACATAGTACCCATAGACGAATTTTCTATCGTGCAAATCGTGTATATGGTCGTTTATCATAATAAATCTTGTGCAGTTAATACAACTATGTGATATAAAATTCTCGGAATAAAAGATATTGAATAGGACTCTTAAACATTTTACTTTATCTTCTGATTGCGCCATGACTAGACACTAAAATAAGGTAGGTATTTACCATCCAACCAAAAAAATTTTATTTTGTTTTTCTGATATAAATGTAACTATTAATTCGCGTTATATATGAAATAATATTCAAACAACAGAAAAAGTTTTTAAAAAATAATGTCAAATTTTACAAATTTTATATATTACTTCACAAAAATATTGTATTAGGCTAAAGTTAGGCAACCAAACAAACTTTATATGAAAATAAAAATAATTAATTATTGTTTTTAATACAAATTATAACACCAAAAACTACGGGAAAATATTTTTCAAACTATAATTTTTAAATACTTTATGTCTTTAAGTACTTTAAGTTAAAAAATAATAATAATCAAATTTAAAAACTCTTGCATTAAATCTCTAATTTCTAGAATAAAATCTGATTGTTAAAGTTTATGTATAGCAAACATGTGTATCAGGCCACAATTTTTAATGCCAAATATTATTCTGTTTAAATATTGTGTCATTGTTAATGTTTTATTAAAAAATTTATATCGTGTTATATTTTTTTGCAATCATGAGTGGGTTATTGTTTATAACGTGACAGAGCACTAAATGATTTACGAATATGTTGATCTGTTAAATTCAATTTCATTTGCTTACAAATATTTATGACCCTGGGCGTACTGCGCGCATATAAATAAATAATATATAGATATATAAAATGAACAATGATTTAGAAAAACACTAAGTAAAAATAAGTATTTTGCATCGTTATTAAGTAAATTATAAATTCATGAGTTCTTAGTTTTTTTTTAAGTAAATGAGCAATAACAAATGGAAACTCAATCAGAACAATGATAACATTGAATAAAAAAAAATATGAAGTAGGTCATCATGATACTATTTCTTTTATAAAATGTTTGTCATTCGCCGAAAAATTTCACCACCCACATTATGGTATTGATTATTTTGACTCTCAATTTTCATACGTTTTACCTCCTCGCTTCATTTCTCACTCCAGTGACATCCGAATACGTCAGCAAACGCATAAACAATGATAATAATAACAAACCAGCGGTGCATAATGCAAGGTCATTAAAATCAACCACTTGTAGCCTAGATGATCAGCTGGCCACTATGTTGTCCTAGGTCGTGTATTACAAGTATAATATATCCAAACCAAGTACCAGGGTCCCGTGTGACGATCGACGTTCGGCAATGAACGGAATCCACCGTATTCAGGTCGTCGTAACTCACCCTAGCGACCATTAAGTACAGCGTATTACCAACTCATATGACTTTTGTATTTTATTGTCGCTGGTACCCTGATGTATACGGCCCGTCAGCCGGAGGTTATCCGAACACTGACCCATTTGTGGAAGGGAATAGAGAATTTATCAAAAGCTTTGAATTTTAACTAACTTAGTATATATTTTACAGAAGTATAAGAATTAATATTAATACTTTAGAATACTATATTATAATGTACTATTTCCGTCAGTAGTTATTTGTATTTTTTCAAGTAATACATTTCATGAACTTATCAACAAATAATAAAGCAATTTTGTTTCAATGTTGACCTTCAAAGTATTTTTTTTTAAATTAATTCATAATAAATAATAATCTTTATATCCAAATTAATATTAGTAGAACATTGTAATTTAATTGCTTTTTGACATCGTTTTCGCATATAAATCTACGTACTTAATAATTTGTAATAATTGTAACATTATTAATTGGAAATGTATTTCAGCCGTGGTATTTTTAACATTTTAATTTTTTTTAATTATTTAATCTAAACTACTTTTTAATCTTCAATAAAGGATTCTGCATATTTTTTTTAGCTTTTTTGGAGAAATTCTTGTTTTGTATGAATTATTGAAGTTAAATATAATCAGTATATTTTATTTTTTTAAATAATATGAATAAAATCATATAGTAATTTGTAAATAATAAAAGTTATCGTTAAACCTAAATAAACAATTATAGCACTTAATAATATAGGATATTTTTGTGATTTAAAACTTTTATACGACTATTTATGTCGTAATTATTTTAATTATATAAATAATATTTAACAGTAACATTATAATTAAAGTAAATTAGATATGAAGTTTAAATAAAAAAGGGCATCCTGCAAACAGCAGGGCCGTTTATGGGAAGTGTGGGATATCTTTTGATTGCATACGGGTGTGTGAACCTCTCAAATGCGGAACCCCTTTGCGCGTCGAAGGATTGACGGAAAAGTCGAGACACTGCAACCGGGCGACCTAGCCTGGGCTTCGGGAGTGTCCTCCACCGCGACACCGGAACATGTGACAACACGCATGAGCAGATCGGCCTAATCTTCACTCAGGGATCGATGTTCAGCATGCCATCACTGGACACACCACTCCCAATCAGCGTAATGTATACATGCGTATATATACACTGCAGATCGAACAATTTGATTACATGTGAGAGTGTAATCTTTTTATACACTTTTTGAGGTTTATACGAAGGTAAATATTGAAAAAATATATATATAATTATCAATTAAATATTCTTCATGCGTATTATATGATAAAATTTTTACAATAATAGACTAAAATTCTGATAATTAAAATTTTTCTACGAATCGCAAACGACTAGGCGGCAGGAAACCGTTTAGCTTAGTGTAAATATTTCCAAACAGATAGCGTTTATAGTCATATGAAAACAAAACTTGCAGTGCGACAATAATATCTACGTTCTGTAAATATATTGTTATAAGTGTATGCGGTCCATACATCGACTTTTATGTTAACGTTATTCAATACATTTTATTATTCTCCATCAATATATACAAGCTACCTAGATAAAATTTGTCTTGAAATTAATAAAAAATGCTAAAACAATGTAAAATTCAATGTTACTCAATAAAACTTTGAAGTCATTTATCTCGAAATACCTTTATCAGAATTCTTATACTCATAGTGTAATATGAACACCAATTCCTTATAAATTATCATTTGGTGAAGTAAAAAAGTTATAAATAATAGAAAAATTAATATATCACATAGTACTATAATTCATTAAGTTGTTAAATTATTAATAACACATTTTTTTCCTTAAAAAATTTAGCGTCTACGAAATATTAGAATACATCGTTAGTACACATAAATATTTTAATTATTTTTTAATTTATATGATAAATCCTAGGTAATTAAAAATAAATAATGTTTGCTTTAAAATCGAGTAAATACATCAATATTTATTTTATTTTTAGTAATTGAACTATTAAAAATGTATCTAAATTAATTCAGAAACCTTAATGCAACAATTTTTACTATTACTTTAATATTACTTGAGCTTTTTTGAAAAATTATACATTTATGACAATGATTAGAATTATGTAATTTAAACATAAATTTCAAAGTAAGTTTTAATTAATTTTTTCAATGATAGTAGCATTTGTATTATAAACAATGAACAAATTCTAGATTTTAGTATGGTGTATATAAGGCGCAAATAATATTTAAAATTTCAATGGTATAAGCTCACATCATATTTGACATTGCTGGTATAAATTTTATTTTAGCACTCCCATTATTAAGCCCAAAATTCCTGAACCCACTCATCTGTGAGTTATTTGTCTGGCGCCCACATTCATCTACAATGTTCGTGTAAATAAGCAATATATTATGTTAAAAATCACAAAGTTAAAAAAAACATAGTATAATATTTGGAAATTGCATAAGTAATAAAATTATGTACATCTTATTCAATTTTTGATTTAATAGTATTTTCTATGAGAGTTTTTCGTTTAATCGAAACAATCAAAAAGCTTAAAATGTTCACCAAATATGTAGTCACGCATACCAAGCACAATTCTTTTATGATAATTATCAAAATATAAGCCAAATAAAAGTTCATGATGTTGGAAAGTATGGCCAAATAATATTGCATGTTAACATAGGATTGATTATTTGAAAAACCTAAGTGAAAAAAATTAATAATAAATGAAAAATTAGTTTAATCTTAATTTATATTATTAATATAGTTGGAACATACCTAGTAAAAAAAATATGATATAGTAAAACATTCCAACAAGTCCATTTGGTACATTGATTATTGAGTCATTTCCTAATAAATAACCAAAAACTCCAAATCCTTTAGCAAATCTATACACACAAATTTTTTGTTAATAAATTATTTTTGAAATACAATTTGAATTAGTTTAGCTATTGTTAAATAATATATAAATTTGAAAATTACAAGATACAGAATAAATCAGTGTACAATCAAAACATAATTTAAAATGTTCAAATAAGACAAATAGTATATATATTTAAAATATTTAGTAGAACTGTTCATTTGAGTGAATAATTATTATTGGGATATTAATTATAACTGCAAAACAAGCAAGAAACTCGATTATAAAAATTGACTTTTTCAATTTCAAGGTGAAAATTCAAAGCGTGTTATTGCTATTTTATAACTTTACAGGAAAGCTAATATGAAAAATGAAATTACATAAAATGTAGTACAAAATATTTTTAAATTAATTTTTTGATGGAAATAGTTCGCATGTTTTTTTATATGATAATTGAGTTTTGTACTATTTAAGTGTCATTATCTTTTCAAGGCGGTAATGTAATTTTCTTATTATAAATACGATAGAAATTAAAAGTTAAATTAGAACGTTGAATATTAATTCAGCGCAAAACGAATCTAGAACTTTCACAACATACATGTACATATTGTTATCGGTCTAAAGGCGTTTTTTATATAAACATATTAATCAATTTTTTTTTTTTTGGTATAATAAGTATTATCCAAACAAAAAAAATCTGCAACACTTCGTATAAAAAACGAGTAAGTAAATAAAAAAATGATTTTTAAAACATCTCTAAAAGTTATATTATCATTTTATAGCAAGTTTTTAAACAATAGATTTCATTTTTGTAACAATTTACTAATTATGCATTGATTTAGGTTAGTGTCTTATAACACTTAAGAGGTAATAAAAACAATTCAATTACAATTGATTATTTTTTAATTAATGTATTTTTGTTAAATTTTTATACATTACTTTATCAATTTTCTTAGAGTTGGACCAAGTCTTTACTATGTAAGCAAATGGACTTAAATATTACTCACTATTTCATAGTTAATAATATGTACTCAATAAAAAAAACAAATTGTTAGTACATTTTTAAAATTTGAACAATATAAGCCTAAAATTGTTAAATACCACTAATTATTTAAAAATATAATAACATTTTTACTTTTTGGTAACAAACATAGGTTTAATTATCAAATTAAAGAATTATATATTTTTGTATTTTTGTAAGTACGAGTACACACATTTTTATTTTAACATTTAAAACTACTTTCAACTCAAAACAAAATAAAATTTTATTCAGCAATGTGAGATAATATCAAAAAAAAAAATTGTAGTGGTAATTTTTGACCATTCATATAGGCCCAAAAGTTCTCTGTTTACTGTGCTTTATTTTTTTTAATTTTATTTTTTATTCATGCTCATAAATTTATTTTGTAAACTTAAAAAACATATTTTTTAGTAAAGTTAAGTATGTAACAATTACCATAATTATGTTAATATTTAATTTAAAATTGTCGATTCCAGAGTTTATGACCACTACTATGAGTGTAAGAGTGACATAATTATACATAAAGCAATAAACTTGTACGATTTTGAGTTATGAAATAAGAATTATGCAATATTTGTGTGCAAATAAAATAATATAAATCTTATAATATATACATCGTGTGAGCAATTTCACAAGTTAAATCCGTTAAACACCTAGTTTTTATTTATTTTATTACATTTAAACAATGGTGAATTTCACACTGAAAATTTTGTAAAGGGTATCAATTGATATATTTTAACAATGTTTCTAAAAGTTTTAAAAATGTAAAATGCTTGAGCACTCTCAGTGAGAATCACTACTCGATGAGTAATTTTTAATTAAATAAAAAAATGAACTCTTATAGCTAATAAATATTTGTACGCATAGTTTATTTATGTGCTACATGTCTAGTTTGTGTACAATCTATCAATTCTTTTTAGATCCACACGCTTACAACTTGAATAATTTAGTACTAGTTTTGGATTTTTAAATTAATTTTTTTTAGCCTTCAAAAAAATCTTTACTATTAGGAAATTTATTTAACGTTTTATATTTTAAGAATTTTTGCATAAGTTAAATAATGATTTGAGAAAATAAAAATATAATTCAGATCTAATTTATTTATATTTAGCAATTATTTTATTGTTATTACTAAAATTTTAGAAAAATATCGTAGTTGTAGGAATTATTTTGTAATATTCATGGTGATAAAAATTTTAAAATAGAATTAGTATATATAAACTTAACAAAGACGTTTAGAAATAAATATAAAAATATATTTTTTTTTGTATTATTCGTAAAATAATTATGTACTCGTTAAATTCAACGACTTCTTGTTTAAATTATTTAGCTAAGAAAATATTACTTATTATGAACAATAATCAATCTGAAGTTCTATTACACGCGTGTTAAATTACAAATTATACTATTATGTGGTTTAAAATACATTGGGATAATTATAATTAAATTATTTGTAAGACATTCTTAAATATCAATAATTAAGCATAAAATAGGTATTCCCCTTATAAAATATTAACCAGAACATTATCAATCTATGTAATTAGTATTTTTGTACACATACACTAATAATTGAAAAAAAATTATTAGATTTATTTTTAAAATCGTACGATTATCTTGTAGTAGCATTGTTACATTTTTCTATATATTTAAGAAACTTTTTTTTTATATTTGTTATAGCTATAAAATTTAGTGATTCTCTAAATTGTAAAATGTGATTTTAAAATGAATAAATAATCAAATTATGAAGCACATTAGAATTAAATTAACTGTACTTTTATAGAATCGTTTCCTCCGAAACTCAAATAAATCACTTATTTTGCTTTATAAATACAATGAAGTTGTAATTAAAATGTATTTTAAAAAATAAAAAAAAGACTTAAACTTACCGAGAAGTAAAAGCTGGTGAACAATTAATGTGTTTCATTACATTACAGTAAGGCTTAAATTTTGGGTACTTTTCTAAAGAAATTTCCACGTATAAAGCATAAGTAGAGATACAAAATCCAATCAGTGAACATATTTTAGTAAGTCTGTTAAACCTGTCAAGTTTGACCATGACGCCTTGCTTTCTTTAGAGATACTGATTCATGGTGCCGTTTAATCATATATGAAATTAGTTTTATGCAAATTATATTTTGTACGCTATAAATGAGCAAAAGAAAACTAGAATGTCATCCTGCAGAATAATATATATATATATATATATATATATATATATATATAATACCATACAAAAAAATCCTATAGTTTTCAAATAAAAAAATTCATGTTTAATTTTATATTAAATAAGAAAATTGTATTCAGTTTAAATTTCAAAAACGTTATTAAGATTTTGGAAACTTTTGGTTTTTTCTGTAGTTAATCAACATTACAATTCTACAAACATAATATTTTTATGAATCACGTGGTTCTACGAAGAGTATTATTTTATGACCGATGCCCTCTCCAGTCTGTGCAAATATAAGTTTATACTATCAGTCGTTCAGTATTAGCAAATCAGTTAAGTCAGTCGGTCAGCACGCCAATTACTTAACAAAGCAAACATGTGTAGATTCCATATAAATTTTTCGTAATTAATTTTTTTTTAATAATTACAATTGTTTTTTAAACATTTTAAATAGTTTATACGTTAATTATTACCATAATCCTAATTAATCAAAATAAAACTTACAAAATGAATTACAATACCTCAAATGCACACAACAATACGATTACTCAAATCGAATTTGACGAATTAAAAAAAAATATTGATGATTCGTTTTTAATATTCAATGGAATAATAGTATCCAGTAAGTTAATTGTTACGATTAAATTGTTCTTTTTATACTGTTGTGAAACAAATCGGATAAAAAGTCCTGGAATTATGCATAGGGGTCAGATTATTTATGGGCCTCAAGAAGAAGTTATTTTACATATTAGGTGGAATACAAATCTACGTTATTTTTCTTTGTATGACTCTATTACTTGTGGGCCTAAGGAAGTCCATGTCTCCCTTAATCCAGGCCTGTGGGTATAAAGAAATTAAACGAGATTAATATTATTTTTATTACGAATAAAAATATATTTACCAATTAATCTCACAATGAAATTTTGTGTAAAATGATTTTAAGCCGTAACTTACATTTAATATTGTATAATAATCATTTGCTTTAACGAAAAATAGATAAAAAAGCAAGTTTAATTATAATACCGACCTTTCAAAACTTTTAATCTAAATAACTGTAATTCTCTTTTGTATGATTAATAATAATAAATATTTTTATTATATTTTAACTATAACCAAATAAATATAATTAACTTTAACTAGTTTATTTTATTTAGTAGGTCATTTATAATTTAACCTATTTATACATTAAAATTATAAAGGCCAATAAATATTTGTATTGTATTCTAATAACTAAAAGAAATATATACTGAGTTTCATTATAATACAATAAAATTTGTTCAAATCGATAACTCAAAAATTGGAGATGTTCATATCTAACAGTTTTGGTCCGCATTACATAATAAAAGTGACAAATAATAGACAGTCTCAATGAATTAAAGTACAATTTAATAGGAAAATAATAGTTACGTTAAGTTTAGTAAAGTTAGTAATTAGCTAATTACTCAAATAACTGTTTAGATTCGCGTGTATGTTGTAAAATTTTTATGTTGTTAAAATTAACTTAAAAAGAAGTTTAAAATGTCTTTGTGGGAGTCTACAATAGAAAAAAACATAAATATTAATTTTCGTTAACAAAAATAGTCTTTATTTCAACTTATCAGTCATATGTTAAACATAACTATTTTTATAATGATTACTATGTCCTAGAGATAAACGTGACATGTTAATCATTTTTGCATGCTTAACTTGACTTAACTATTTTGTAAGAGAAACAAAGAAAAAAATAATGAAACTACTGATAAATACTTTTTTTTTCGTAAAAATTGATAAAAAATTATATTTCATAACAAAGAGACTAATTAAAATGTTGGGATATTTATGATATTATCTCAAATAAAATTTTAACAAAACATTTTTACTTTCGTAAATAAATTTGTAAAAAACTATTTGATTAAGAAACTTTTTCAATAAAATAAAACCTAATGTTTAAAAAAAATTTAAATATATATTTTTTTTTAGTAATTCAAGTTGGTCTTGCTTGTTTAGAAGCTGGTTGTATACATCCAAAGAACGTGACCAACATTCTACTGAAAAATATTTTAGATTTGTGTAAGTATAACCTCATTAAAAATCCACACAGGTTTTTTTATTATTATAATTATAATGCGTTTAAAAAAATTGTAAAATAATGCATTGACCATGTGACCATGACATGGTCGCAATAGTATTGTATAAAATTGATAATATTTTCTAGAGTAAAACAAATATTCTGATCTTTATTAATTAATTTGTAATTTAAATAAGTCAAAAAAAGATATCAAAGAAAAATACAAAGGAAGTTATAATATTTATCTATGTATTTACTATATTTAAATAAATTTAATCATAATATATTATGCTTAACTTCAAAGTTCTCTAGTGAAAGTTATTGTTTGAACTAAAGAGGAAAGGAGGCTTCACATAACCTAGCACAACGATTCAACCTATGCACTGAAGTACAACACATCGACTAATCTAAGAAGGCCGTCTAGATTTGAAGTATAAAACGCCACAATTCTGATCTAAATAGAAGGTTATTTAGATAAAATTAAAGAGAAACTAGTTAATAATCGTTACCTTATGAATTGGAATAAGACAATTGATTCCCAAGATTATTTTTTTAGTTTTTTAATTTATCGTAATTTTTATTTTTAGTTTTTTGTTCTATTTCATACTGGTTTGTTGGGTATGGACTGGCTTATGGTAACGGAAATCCATATTATGGTATTGATTACTATGCCGGTGTCGGAATGCCCGACGACAAAATGGCATTCTGGTTTTTCCAATTCATATTTGCAGCAACCGCAGCAACACTCATATCTGGCGCTGTTGCTGAGCGATGTAACTTTATTGCATACATATTCTACAGTACGATAATATCAGGTAAAATTCTTTGAGAAAAAAATGTATTTATCAAGAAAATTTATTTTTAAAATAATGTGTGAATTGCGAATAAAATGTTTTCTAATATATCTACTTTTGGTAAAAGTCATATTAAAAATCAACAAATAAGTAATTCTTGTAACAGATAAACTTTGATAACAATGTTATTTAATTGAGGTTTTCTCAATCTCTTGCATTATTTATAAGCTATAGACTTGCTTGGAATTGCATGATTACTAATAAAAATCGAATAATCGGTTTTATTTGCTCGATAAAATTTGAGAACTAATTGATTACTAATACAAAAAGTTGATTTTATTTGTAAAAACAATAAAAAATTGTTTAATTATATGTTTTATCATTTTTTAATTTTCATAGTTAAGTTTATAAAATTTTAGTAAAATTTTTTTTTTATTTTGACATTATTTTTAAAATTAATACAATAAAGTAAAAAAGTAGGATTAAAAATATTGTCAAAACGGAAAAAGTTGTGATATGAATAGAAGTATACTATTTTATTTTATTGAATTACAATTTTTTGGCAACATTTCATAATTTATTACGTGTTCAAAGTATACACTTACTTAAAAATTTCATAGGTGTACGAATACTAACTGATTGCATATTAAATCAGTATAACCATTTCGATTTATAATAAGATAGTATTTGAAACAATGTCTACAACTAAAATCAATACTCATTCTAAGTGAAATTTTGTTTAGGTGTAACTTATCCCATTGTCGCTCACTGGGTGTGGGCACCAAACGGATGGCTTCTAAACTTAGGTTATTCTGATTTTTCTGGTGCAGGAGCTGTCCATTTATTAGCTGGTACATGTTCCTTTATAGCAGCTTTATTTTTAGGACCTAGGACAGGACGGTTTGATAGTTCAAACCCAAGAGATTTTAATGGTCATTCTATGCCGGTAAAGATATAATTTAATTTAACACCCATTTTAAATTCTCAAATAATTCTCAACAAATTAATAAAGATTTTTACTATTAATAATAATATAAGAGAATCCAACATTTGTGTTACCTATTTTTTTAGTTAGTAGCAACGGGTACCCTTTTAATTATTACGGGATTCTTAGCTTTTAACGGTGGATCTCTTGGACACATTACCTCACCCGGAGACGGAGCCATAGTCGCCAAAAGCATATCCAATACTATTACAGGAGGCAGTGGAGCCGCTGTATGTATTTTAATGTTATCCAAAGCGGGTTTCCTCGGCAAGTCTAGATGGCCGTTTTTGATCTCTATCAATGGAATTTTAATTGGCATGGTTAAGTAAAATAAGTATTTATTTTAAAATATTTTTAACAGTGTAATACATTTTAAAGGTATCAGTGTGTGGAGCAGTAAATGATTATTCATACATTTCATCATTTACTATAGGAGTAATCGGTTGTTTAGTCTACGTGGTATTACAATATCTAGTGCCATTATTAAAAGGTAATTATTTTATAGTTTAATATGCTTAGAAAATAGAAATTATATTTCATAATAATTATAAAAGAAAAAAATGTTCCAGTTGACGACCCACTTGAGGCAACAGCGGTTCATTTTGGAGGTGGCTTATGGGGAGTAATTGCTGTTCCTTTTTTTACTAAAGGTGGCATTTCTAATAACAGCAGCGTAAGTCAGTAGTTGTAAGCCAATATTCTCATTTAAGTCTTATAATACAAAATTTAAATATTTATAATTTTTAATTGAATGTATTATATTCAAAGAAATATTATCATTATTACATCTCAATAATGGATATTGTTATATATGTTTTTCATTATGCAAATTTACAAAAAAATAGTGTAACTTCATTAAGATAATGAAGATTAAAATTCATTAAAAAATAACAAATAAATAATAAAATTATCTGTCTGATACAATTTACAACTTTTGCGAATTAAAAACTATGAAAAGATAAATTTCTTGTAATTTTTAAATAATAATAATAATTAAATCATTTTTAAAGTCCATTAGAAAAAATTAATTTGACCTAGAAAAATACGTTTTAGTCTTTAAAACTATCTTAACTGTGCGACTTTAATTTTTTTTTTTCAATTTTTAGTGATATTAAAAAAAAAAAAATAGAGACAAATAATACTAAAAATAATTATTAATCTTGTATTTATAATATGTAAGCACATGCTACTTTTCAATATAGTATATTAGATATAAAAAACTCACCTTAAATATTTGACTTGTCCGTATTTTGTTTCAGTTATTAAAATCAAATTTAATTGGCGCTGGTGCTATAGTTTTATGGTCGGTAATAAATAGTGTTATCTTATTTGGATTCCTTAAGGTTTTTGATTTACTTCGGGTATCAGAAGAAAAAGAGCATATCGGTAATATATATATTTATTAGCATTAAGGACGAAATAATTATAACAAAGTTTATTTATATCATCGACTATAGGTTTGGATATAAGTTTGCATAAAGAACAAGCTTATCCTGTATCAATAACTAATATCAACATAGAAAATGGTAAGTGAACATTGTAATTCCAGTTAGTTTTATTATTGATATTTTTATAAATTAATACTAATTATTTTATATTTTAGACAACACCAATACATTCTCGAAAAATGGTCATGATAACTTAGCCCTAAATTTTCCTTAATTAATGGACTACTCAATAAAACATTTTAATAATTTTTATATTTGCTTCTATAATAATTGCATGACTATTCACTAATTCGTGTTATTAAAAGACCTTGAAGTTAAAACGAGCGATGTTTTTCTTCAATTTGTATAATATTTTATATTATGTGAAAAAAATCTAAAAATTCGTATTATAAAAAATATTTAAAATGAAACATAATTAGATTAATTATCAAAATATTCTAAAGTTATATTTATGTACTTATAATATTTTAGACTGTTGGTAAAACTTAAAAAAAAAATAATAATATAAATAATGTTTTCAGTTTAGACTGTTTTAGAATTATAATAATTATAACTCCAAAACCAAAAACAATTATTGTTTTATTATGACCAACTCAATTCGTTACAGAGTAAAAATAATTTACACATTTTTTTTTTTGGTTATTTTTAATTTCACATAATAAATGTAAACAATATTAGCTATGTAATACTTTTTAACTTCATTCTATATGTCTTGTAAGGATATCAACTTTGTTTTTTCCAAATAGAAACACACATTTTGAATTTAATAAAATGTTTGAGATTTTATTTTATTTTTATAGTAAATGAGATTAAATTTTTAGTATTCATTTTATTATATAGTTAATTTATTTGTTAGATATAAAACTTTAAATTTTCAAATTTTTTAATTAATAAACATTTATAATATAAAAAAGATTACAAATAAAGGTAGCTAATTGGTTTTTTATAACTCGATTTATAAATCGCTATTCACAGATTTATAACGTCAATTGTCGATTTTGAAAATCGACAAATATGTTTTCTGTATTGCCAGTTGGTGTATTTATAAATGTTAACTCTCAACAATGTGTTACATTTTAAGAATATCTGTTGATAAGGTCATAATTACCATATATTTGTTACCATTTGAAAATACAAAAGTTAAAATCCTTACAAGACTTAAGGGATAAACTTAAAAAGTAATACATAACTAATAATTCAAATAAAATTTGTAACTTAAGGTAACCAAAAAATAAAGTTTAAATTATTTTATCCTATGAGTAATTGAGTGGGTTATGATAAAAAAATCACTATATTGAGCTTAAGATGGAAGTTAATACAGCATAATGAAAACTTAATTTGCTAATAATGTTTTTTGTATATGTAGCGTGCCAATCATAAATTTTTTATAACTGATAACTTACTTAATATCAATTTAAATTAAAATAATGCGTTTTAGATCTATTCTTTAGATTGTGATTCTTCGCCGTTAAAACAAAACATTTGATTAAAATTATTAAGATATGAAGTTGAGTTTGAATTGTATCAAGGTCCCAAAGCTTCCATGAACTAATGGATTCAAAGTTATATGATAGATAGAAGTTATACGTGAACATACTACATATAATATTAGTTGAACGCGGTTAGAAAGTTGGTTTGTCGTGGAATTAAGTAATTGAATTTTAGTATTAGGAATCTATAAGCTATCAAAGATACGTTCAAAACATTCAATTTTTCAATAAACGAATGAACGAATATCGAAAGTACTCTTTCGCATGGGCTCCTGGTACAATTTGTTGTCTATCTGTCGACTAGTGATGGGCACTATCAAATTGTTTTGAATGTCGGAAATTAAATTTTTTTAAGAAATAATATTTTAATTATTATTTACAACGATTGACTACTTTTTGACTAACGAACCACCGGTTAAAATGTTAGATATCAGTCGAATATGATATTTACTGTTTCTTTTAGTTGTTTTAACCTGCATAATATGCTAAATGGTATATCATTCATGATAACAGTTCAATAGTTCGGTGTCGATTGTTTAAAATTAAATACTATAGTAAAATATTTGTTTCTGTTGATAGTTTTTGAAAACAATTGAATCAGTTAGTTTTAGACTATTGAATAGTAGTTCGATAGTATTTACTCGGTTGTTCCCATAAGTACTATCGACATTTTTGCTTCATGTAGAATTCAGTACCCAACTATTGGATAACAGTAAAGTATTTAAAGGGGCGACAGAAGCATGTGCCCATTTTGAATAATTCATACTGTTATTTTTTCAAGCTATATATGATATATTAATAATTAATATAAATTGAAAAGTATTTTAACTTTTTGTTATCGATATAAACGTGTATTTATCAAATGTTGATTGATATAGTTGTCTTGTGGAAAATTCAGCGCTTCATAAAGATGTCCAAGAAACGTTATCATTTAGTACTAACAAATGTGTTAATAATGAAAAGTTGAATTTAGTCTTTAAGAACTGTTAAGCGATTAGAGAAATTTTTTTATGCCTGTTTATGAATTTTAAAAATGGATTCAAAAAGAACTAAACAAAAAATGACTAATTTCAAATTTTATAGTTAATAATGTTTTGTGCATTGTTTTTATTTCTGCTTGTTTATGACTATTTTATTGTTTTTTAAATTTTATTTTGTTGAAAAAAGTACTTTTCAATGTGTGTTTAAAGTATATACAAGGTGACTATTTTAAAACTAGACACTCGATAATAATTGAATAGTTATTTATTAAAAAGTACTTATGACCACTTTTCTTAATTTTCAGGAAAGACAAAAATATATTTTTCCTATAATTGATTTATATCAGTGATTATTGTGATGGTAGGTGGAGGGGACGGAGTCCTCCTTATTTGGAGTATAATGTAATATAAGAAATTTATTCAAATGGTCAAAATTGTTAAAAAAAAATAATTGTAGAAGTGTTTAAATTATGAAATGATAGTATAAGAAATCTTTGAAGCTAAAAATTACTAAAAACAATTTTTTTAACATAATTATTATTTTAACAAGTTGATGGACAGTTACTGCTATAGCAGTTACACTTTTTTTTTCATTGTTTTTGTATCATACTTATAAAGAAAAAAGCTCTGATGCATTTTTTATTCCAAACAATTATTAATGAGATATTAAATTGAATCTGTATTTACAGCCAAGAGCGTGACTGCTATAGCAGTCATGTCCGTCAACGTGTTAATGGAAACGATTGACTAGTGTTAAAGAATCATATGCATACACTGAAAAAACTCCTTGGTAAAATTAACAATTTTTTTATTAAAAAACGTCCAATAATATTTTGGTAAATAAATAGGATTTCTTTTATTTAATTAACAAAATATTTGTTAATTTGAATTCATATAACAAAAAGTTTGTAGAGTGTATTTGTTATTTTCTGTATGCATTTTTCGTTTTTACCGAAGATTTTTTCAGTGTATTTTTAGTATACGTATGTTTAAAAAGTAAGGAAACAGGTCAATTGTTACAAACAATAAGAACAATAGAAATCCTTTTTCTTACTTACTGAATATTCTATAATGTGCTTGTAAAAGTTTCACAAAAAATACCACAGATGTTACCAAGAAAACCAAGGTAATTTTGAAGAGACTAAGCCTTTCCAAGCCTCCTCTAATTTTCGTCTATGAAGTTCATATATATATTTTAGATAGTTCACTTTATTGAGTAAATTCATAAATGAAATAATAAAATCAACTGTAATTTTTATCAAATATACAAAAAAAAATATAAATAACTTAAACAGAACATCTCCATAAAAAAAACATTTTAGGTAGATTTTGAAGAGCTACTCAGGAGATTTACGTTTAATAATTTTTTATTGGAGTGGTCTGAAATACTAAACTTATTTTTGTTGACTTTTGTTTGCATATTTATTTTATTCACTGTGGCTAAACTCCTGAAGTTTAGGCACAATAAAAAAAATCTTAATTATACGATGATATTCCATACAAAATTTGTAAAATTCATTGTTCTTTAAAATTAAAAATAGTACAGGTACTATATTAAAGCGTACTCAACTGAATGCACTGAATAATATTATGTACATGGGTTATATTTTAATGATTAAAATATAAAAAAGTATTATTTATTCTTCCATGAATTTTAACGGATAATTCAAGTTATCTATGATAAAATAACAATATTAATTTAAAGTACTGGTTTTTGGTAATGTTCATCATATTAAATGCGACTGTTATTTTAACTTGATATTAATTGATTAATGTTATAAAATTAAAATGAATAGCAATTCTACTCCTAAAATACTACGTTCTACAGCAAAAATACCAGAAACTCCAGTTTTAGAACGTATAGGTTATGGAACAGGTTTGTATAATTAAATTTTTTTATAGCTAGAAAATTAAATATATTTTAATTAGGCGTTGGAGTATTCAATTTAGAAAGAGATGAAAAGTCTCCTTGGGCAGCTAAAATTATTAGTCGACAAGCTGGTAGAGATCGTAAGCAATATAGTAATCGTTTACAATTAGAAGCTAAAGTTCTATCTTCTCTCAAGCATCCAAATATTATTGGTTATAGAGCATTTGTTAAAAGACCTGATGGTCGTGAAGTAGGTGAACTATAAAAAAAAAAAATTAAAATAATATAATAAAATTATAATTATTATTGTATTATTTAGTATTCTAATAATATTTTCAGGTATTATTAATGGAACAATGTGAACAAAGCTTGGGAGATTTAATAGAAATGAGGAATGATGAAAACATTGGACCATTCCCTGTAGAATGTATAATGAAAGTAGCTATTGACATTGCTAGAGCATTAAACTATTTGCATACTTCTTTAGTATTGCATGGAGATATTAAATCAGGCAATGTTTTAGTAAAAAGTAAATCATTATATTAAAAAATTTATAATTCATTACATTGTCTGTGTTTTAATGATTATATTTTAATTCTCAAAATAAAAAATATTATAATCTTTTACTTTTTTCAATTTGCTTGATAATTGAAGTGCTTGAGGATATATCCATGTTTGCAGTTGAGTTCTGACGTTTTTTCAATTTTTTATAAACATACTATTTAAGACATTATTTACATTAGTAAAGTTTGGGAAATATTAAATTTTGTTTTAAACTCTACCTATAAAAATGTATGATATTAAGTTTGTTTAAAAATAATTTATAAATAAATGGTTAGTTTTGTATGATGAACTTTATGACTATATAATACCATGGTTGTTCTATGTCTGGAAAATCTTAAAAAGTCAAAGATTTTAAAGTGATCAAGATAATCATGGGAAAGTCAGGGAATTTAATAATTTTAAATATGTGAGGAACATCAATTTTTTTACCTCGCCATGTAGGGTTTCACTCCCCAATAAATAATCTCATAATTCTTTGGACTATATCAATATTTTCTTAGAAATTTTTTAAGTAATTATAATAATTACTTATATAATAACAATGTTTTGTAAAAAATCTTTAAAAAAAAAATTAAAATAATATATTTTATAACCAAATACATGCAATTAATGGAAAAAAAAAAATTGGAATTATGTTTATATAGGTTCATTAGATAATGTATTGTACCTTAGTGCATATGTCCGTTATGTTGTGCTGAGCTATATAAGGCTTCTCTGTTTTTTTTGGCACAAGCTACATTTTTTAGAGAAGACATTAATTATGATATATATATATATTAAATATTTTTAAAAATTTTTACACTATTTTAAATTTATTTAGTATTATTATTACTTTAACTATTTAAAGTCATATAAATAAGAAAACATTTTTAATGAAAATATGATTTCTGTGATAAGTAATTTACAAGAAACCAGAATATAATATGTAAAATTGAGATATACATTTTTTTTGTTAGTAAATAAATTTTTTTCAGATAAATGTAATATTTATTTATAGATAATTTTGAGATTGTCAAGCTTTGTGATTTTGGAGTCAGTCTACCTTTAAAATCTGATGGAACACTTCATAAAATTAAAGGTTATAAAGCATCATATGTAGGCACACCATGCTGGTCAGCACCTGAAGTTTTAAAAGGTGAAGAATGTCTTGGTGCTATAATTACTAACAAAGCAGATATATTTAGTTATGGTTTAGTTTTATGGGAAATGTTGACTTTATCTGTGCCAAATATCAATACAGATATGGATGAATCATACTACACTGGTTTTAGTGAAGATATGGATGCTAACCTAGGTAGATTAATTTTAATATTATCTCATAACTTCAAATTAAATACTTTTACATATATTTTTTTCAGGACAAAGACCACCTTTACCAGAAAACATTACTTCAAACCCAGCATATAGACGTATAATAGAATTGTTTGAAATGTGTACTGTACAAGACTACACTAAAAGGCCCTCAGCTAAACAAATTCTTAAAATAATTGATGTTTAAATGAAGATATTTTTCTATGTAATTATTATGTATGTATGTATGATATATATGACCAAACATTTATTGACTGCAACATTTTTATTTAGTATATTTGTCTATTTTGCTTTAAAATTTATACATTTTGAATTAGAGATATTCTTATGTTAAAATAATAAGTGCGTATTAAATATAATATTAACACTAAATAATTTTTAATAACAAGAACATAATTATTGTTTTTAGTATTTTATCAATGTTTAAAATATTATTAAATTTAAATATTTTATTTAGTATTAATTGCACTATAATATATTTTATAATTGTAAAAAAATATATTTAAATGTTTCTATTTTATTTTTCCTAATAATAATAAATATTATTAAAATATAATTTTAATTATTGTAAGTATCTGCAAAGACATTAATTTATATGATGAAAATTATATGGATAAATTAAATTTTGAATAAAACATCAATCATTAAGAAGAAAAATAAAAGAAAGTTGTGGTTTTTCATGAAATATTTTAGTATTAAGAAATTAGTATTTTTCTTTCAAATTTTTTACAAGGTATGATTTTATACTAAGCTTTATATTACCATAATTTAACTTTTAAGATATAAACATACATTTTATCATAGCATTCTTCCTCATGAGCAAATTATATTCTTATATACTGTGTTTTGACATATATATATAAGATTTAGTGCAATACCAGAGATTTACAATTTCTTCAATCTTCTGACGAGCTAAAAAATTTATATCACTACAGTATTATATAGCATGTAACTTTTACAGTTTCACTTATGGAGAAAAAATAATGTTTATAAATAAAACACATGTGAATAAAACTTATTGCAATGATTTTTTTCCTAATTTTCTAAAACTTTATTTGTTCAAAAATATACAAGATTTTGCAATTTATCTAACAATAAATATAATTAATTTTTACACAGTTTAATATAAATTTTCATTTGAAGTATTTAAAACATTATGAGAGACTTTGAAAATTTTAATGATCATCAATTTTTAAGGTGATGAAAGATAGGTAAAGGGACAGCCTAGCAATATTTATTCATGAAATATAAATATATTAAAAAAAAACAACTAATTCAACAAGTATATAATATGTTTGTATATTTATTATATTTGTTAGATTGAGCTTCACAATAACAACAAAAATAAACTTACATAAAATATATTTATAGGGTGGTTTGTATAACAAATAAATCTTTAAAAAATATACCTTTTTACAAATTATTATATAAACTATTTATGATAAAACAAGTGTGCATTTAAATAATTATCATTCAAAAACTGTTGGACAGACAAATTGTAGCGCTAAAATATATACTCACACACATTTGGTTAGTTTTTAAACACTACTCAACAAAAAATAATAATAAAACAGCTATAAGCTAGATATATAAACATAAATTTGTTAAATTAATATCATTATAAAAACTATTAACATCAGTAAAATAGCTCAAAAGAAAAAGTAATTGTACCAATAACTCACTTATTATAGGTCGTGTAAGGGGTGTCTATTATAATAATGGTTATATAAACAAGGAAAAAACTTAAGGTAAAATGTTTTTAAAGTGTATGTTTAAAATAATTTAATATATAAATGATGTACAAAATAGATAAGTTTGTTGAACACATTTGAGTTTTTGAAACGTTAAAAAAAATTAACATTTCTATTATTTATTCATAATATGTAATATAAAATAATTCAATATGAATTGTTAAATATAATAATATAAACGAGTTATCATGAACTTCAGTATTAGTTTTTAGTTCGATCAACGTTGTTCAAATATTTTCTTTCGATCGGCAACCATTCCACACATGCCAGGAGATTTCAATAGAATACCATTACACCGCCTGTATGAAGAGGACGTAGTCATTTCTTTGCCGATATTATTTTTGTTGTTATTTTGATGTGACAGATACCTCTTCGGCTCTGTAAAAATAAATGTTAATTAATGTACCCGTCCTGTTATTTACAAAAAACAGCATAGTATGCTATTTTTTGTAGTCATGATATATTATATTACGACTTTTTCAAAAAAAAAGACTTACCTGCTTCACAAAGAGGCGAGGGTTCTGTATTTTTAGGAATCACGTTACTTTTTTTTGATGTAATTTGTGACTCGACGACAATGGGTTCTAAAAAATTAATTGGAATATAATATTAATTCAGAATTTTAATTCATGTTGTCACATTTATGTGACTTAAAGAGTTATCGAAATGTATAAAAATTATCATCGGACTGGGGTGAATTTTGACGTAAACATAATGTACAATATATGTTAGATTATGAAATCGAACCACAATACACCAATCGAACACCACCACCTTCACTATACTAAAATATTATTATACATTAGTTATCCAATCAGGTTAAAATAAAATGGGTTCAAGGTATACTTCTACTACAAGCATTATATTATGAGGTTCAAATAATTTTTTCCATAATCAAATATTACCGTAAAATGTATACTCAATTAAGTAATTAAAAAATTCAGTTTAATAACTAGGTTGATCCATATATTTTTTTTGAATTCTTCAAATAACATATATATAAACTCAAAATTCACCCTCTTCCAGTAATCATTTATTGACAATAATAATTATTGGAAAATTGAATACCCATTAATATGAATTCATTGAAAATAGTCAATAAAAAATATAAAACAAAATTCTGACGGGCTTATATCTACCTTGAAGATCATGTTTAGAGAAGTGCCGCAACTTATTTACCAGCGCTACAATAACAGGACGGTCGACTTTCGCCATTATTGCGCCAGCACTGTACTGTTCAACACTGTTCAAAATGCTTTCAAGCGATTCACCATGCTGTGAAGGGTGCAGTCAAGCAAAAAAGTAGGTATAAAATTTACAAATAGAGAGTTACATTCATTATACTCAAAATACTTAAGATTAAACTACAGGTACTTTTAACGTTAATAATTCTATAGAAAATTACCTCTACTAGAACTACAAAAAAAGTCTTTATAAGAAGCTAATAGTAATAAGAAGTATAAATATAAATCGTTGACCAAACAGTAATAACACGTATTTTGAAATGTTTTTAAAATAAGATTTTGGAATTAAGATTTTTATAACCTTTTTACGTTATTTGTTTACCATAATTACTGCGGATTTCTAATTAGTTGCTATGCTATTATAGTTTCCATAATAAATAAATAAAAACAAAAATAGCAAAAATATTTTATTAAAAATAACAACTTAATATTGTACAATCTGGTTTTTTGTGAAGTATATAAATCTCCTAATGATATGTTTGTAAAAAAAATGGTAAATTTATAGGTTTTGAAACACGCTCAATTTTTTATTAATTCTGGAAAATTATAAAAATCGAGATACATACTGTTGTCATTTGGCCAACGAAATTGTAAAAGAAGGAAAATGATATACATTTATGAATATATATATAATAATATATAATATAATTATAGCAAAGATTTTTAATTTATAAAAAAAAAACAATCCAAAAAAATAACTGAAATTTCCATGCATTAACTAATAAATTTAATTCATTCACATGCTCGTAGTACAGCATAAATGGTTACATACCAGAATGTCTTGTTTTAAACGGGTCAGTTCAGCTCCAGCATTCACTAACTCAAGTTCTAAAGGCAAATCGTTACATTCTGATATTAAATGTGCTCGGAGCTGTTTGTTCCTAATTAAATAATATATTAATCAAAATTTTTACTGATAAAAAAATTAATATAATTTTCATCATCTATAAACTACCTGGAATCTAATTGAAAAATTTGTTGTTGAGCTTGAGCAAGTTGAGAATTGGCTGATTTCAATTCTTCTTCCAAATTGGCCGACTCTACACACTTTATGGAATATTTTTCAGATAACGAAAGTATCTCTTTTTTAATCTCTTCCATTTCAGCTCTAAAAATTAAAATGAAGGTATAAAAAATATTTCAGTAAAAAAAATTGTACAGAGTATGATGTACTCACTCATGTTCTTTATGTAGAGTACCAATATCATGGCTAGATTGAACCTTTTTCAAAAACTCCGACTTAAATTTAGTTACTTCTTTTTGTACTTCAGCTTCATGCGCTTTTCTCATTGCATCCAATGCTAAAATATTTTATAAATATTCAATCATACATTATGTTAACTCTCGTTATTAATTAACTTACCCGCAAGTGTAGCGTGAGTTTCTTCAGCAAGAGCTTGTTCTTTTTCCACTCTTAATGCTTCGGTCTCTTGACGGTGTTTTTCTTCCAACTCGGCTATAATACGCCTATGTGAATTTTCCATCGCTAAAAGACCTTTTTCACACAAAGCCTAGGTTCAAATAAAAAATATTAGTTAAACAAAATCACACAATCAAAATTCAGATGATTTTATTATTATTTATAATCGAATAACTATATGAGATAGATAGTATTAAAATTTATCTTACTCGTAAGTGCTCGATTTCTGTTTGATATCTAAGCTTGGTCGACTCCTCTGTCATGACAGTACTAGGCATTTCATTAGAAGCTAATGAAAGCTGATAAGATAATCTCAAGTTATCCATCTGTTGACTGTACTCGGCGTCTAATGCACTCAATCGCTTTTCTAGTTTTCTTATACGATCTTTTAATACGTTTTGCTCTTGTTCGCTGACAGCCAACGTTTTTTGTTTTTCCTCTTCCAGTCTACTCTTAAGCTCTGCCATGTCCATCTTGTGTCGTTTTTGCACGTTTTCTAGTTCATCATTGTGCTCTTGTTCGTAACTCTGGATCTTCTCTTGTAAATATACACATCGCTGACATTCTTGACATTGAGCAAGGTACATTTGTAGTGAAGCTATTTGCATGCGTAAGTCATGACACTTGTTGCACACATCTTCAATCCAAGATGTGGTCTTGCTTTCATTGCGCAATGGTTGCGGGTCGGAAGCTGGTCCGTTTAACTGGCGCTTATCAATTATTTCTTCCATACAAGTACGCAAAGCTAAAACTTCTGACTCCACTCCGCCCAAACTATCTTGCAACATTCGTTCATCGTCTTGTAAAGATAGGCAATTGCATATTTTTGCCGCCAAATATTGACATTCGGATATTGTTTCAGATTCGTTCATTTCCATTTTGCTTTTTGGAGATCTTTTATCCACTAATTTCAAACCAGATTCCAACATGCAATGAAGTACAGCTACCTCAAAATATTCAACTAAACAGCCATTATTTTCACAACGTTTATTCTTATTTGGTAACCCTTGTATAACTTCTTCCATCTGAGTTTCAATTAGTTTACGAACGTCGAGAAGCCATGTTTCAAGTTTACTTCTGTTTAAAACGCATTGTATTAACATAACACTTCCTTTGTCCGTCAGATCTTGAGTCTTAAAATAGTAGTCAAGTGCCATGTGCATTTCAGTATCCGTCACAATACTCTCTAAACACTCATAAGCGACACTCCTAATATCATCGGTATCCCATTTATGCTTATAAATTATGCTCAGTCTATTTTCTAAAAACTCTTTAACCCTCTTTTCTGTATTGTTTTTTATATTAGTGATTTTTTTAACCTCTGCAAACAAATCAAGATTGGCTTCAAGACGATTTTTAAGTCGATTTGAGGTCTCAACTGCAGCATCATTTTTCATTAATTGCCTTAGTTTATTTAAGAAAACTGCCTCAGTGGCTACCTTTTCTGCTAATAAAGTAGTTTTTGTTTCACTGTCCAATTTTCCTTCATCAAGCAACTTCTTTCTTTTAGATGCGATTTCACCAAGCTTTGATCTCCAGGCCCGTTCAATTTTCAATACTTCTGTATCTTTAGTTTCAATACTATCATCTATGGAAATGTTCGTCGAGTCTTGATTTGGTTTTTGTAATTCAGCAATGCGGTTCTCAAGAGAAGTCATGCGTATAAGCACTTTCATAGGTTCACAACTCGTTGCACTATCCAAAGACTTCCGTCTAAGTCTTGACGCTACAGTACTTGCTCGACAACCCGTTTCAGTTGACTCTGTCTTCTCGATGGTTCCATTGCCTTTTGTATCAATCTTGCCTATTTTCTTTTCCAAATCGACTAGCTTTTCTTCGAGCTCTTTGCAAATAGTAAATGATTCACGTCCTTTTAATGATAAAGATCTTCGTTTATCACGACCTTCGGATTTTGTTAACTTTTGTTTGAGTAAGCGAATCTAAAAATTAACAGAGGCAAATTAATATCATATTACTTAGCAATTATTTAAAAAGAATATTTTAAATATAAAATATATTATGTTTTATATTTTACTTGTTTATCAGCAGCAGTAAGTTTTGTGGTTAAATCTTGAATCCTAGCTGCCATCATTGAAGCTTGACTTTCATAAGTTTGTTGTCTGATATGTAAATCTTGTCTAGCGTTGATCAGTTCTAACTCTAAAATATCTGTCTGTACATTTGATTCTTTAAGTTCTCGTTTCATAGCTCGAATTTCATGAACAGCCTTTTCAAATCTACAGCGAAGATCTTCATATTCTTCAACAACCCTATAATTAATGAAAAAAAATTATTAGCAACACCAATCAATTAATTTCATTTATTTTAACAAACCTTTCTTTATCCATATTTTCTGTATCTAAATCCAAATCAATATTTGTAAGATCACTCAATGAATCTAAACTTCGGGCACGACTATCTCGAATTGAAGTATTTATAGGTATAGAACGACCTTCGAGTTCTCGCACTCTTCTATAAAGAGATTCATTCTCTTCGATTCCTCTAGCCAAACGATCAGACACATCTGCTAGTGTACCTCTAAGTCTGGATACTTGTTCTCTTGTTCTCTCTAATTCTTCTAGATGTTGTTCAGATTGACTTTGCACCGATAGTAAGGCAGCTTCCCAAGTTTTTTTCTCGTCTCTATATCTACAAATTAATTTAACGTTATAAAAGGTTAATTTAGTATGTTAAAACTTTATTTAGATTCTTACAGCTTTTTCAGTGATTCAAATTCAGTTAATTGATCTGATTTTTGTTTGATCATATCTTCGGCCATTTTTAACGACGTGGCCATTGTTTCGACTTGTTTTTGTAACGCTAATACATCATGTTTACGCTGCCGCAGTCTTATCAATTCTTGTTCGGCATTACTTAATTGACACAGCACAGTAGTAAGTTGTTTTTTAACTTCAGCTAAATCATCTGCTTGTTTACCAACTCGGCCAACTAAAGAACTGTGGTCACTCTGTATACAATTAATACAATAAATTACTTAATAGTGTTTAATTTATATGGAATATTTCTGAAATAAGTAAAATTATTTATAAAGTTTATAACTACTCATACCTTAGTGTCATCAGATTCAGCACATGAAGATAGTAAAAGATCATCAGATTTTGAAGTTTCAGATAAACTTTTTGGAGACACAGGAGGTGAAGACTTTGACCGTTTTGCTGCTAAACTTCCACCAGTAAAAATTCTACTCCGAGGTCCTCCTCTAGCTCGCTCTTTTACTTTTGAAATAGGTGTCCGATTAAGTGGAGGTGATGGTGGTAAAGTATCTCCCCAATCACTGCTTTCATGACGTCCACATTCTGAAGCAGTCCTATATTCATCATCCGATGAAAATAATACTGATCTCGAAGATGATAATGTTCCATCCAACCTATATTAATACAAAAAATTATTTTATTTTATTTATTAAAGTAAACATAAACGGTAAAACTTACGATGGTTTAACAAGTATATTATCCTCGGTAAGCCCAGCAGCTCTTCGAATAGCAGAAACCCAATTTGTTCGTATTCCTGTTGTTATTGCTGATAAAATTACTCTTTTATCATCCCAGGACTAGATAAAAATTTTTAGTAAGTTCAAACTTTAAGAAAAAATTTAAGTAAAAAGTTATTAATAACTTACGGTTGTTTGAAATCCATAATTTCTATTCACTTGTACATCATTGACAGTAGTTACACAACTTAAATCGACAACACCATCAAGAATACCTTGGTCTTCAGCAGTAGGATCGCGGTAAAATAATAATGCAGATCCTCTTAACACAAACCAATGTTTATTCCATTCCTAAAAGAAAGGAAATAATTTTTACAAAATGCTTTATAATTTTTTTAACTACTTACATCTGGCGTGCTTCCTTGTTTCATAAGCCATCCTTTCTTTATGTTCAAAAGATCTTCGGTTGGCAATTCGACTCTAAGTTCGGAATTGGGCGAGTATCGTAATGACAAATCCAAACCACAACCGTCTGGATCACCACGCACCTATAAAAAATTATTGAGTTAATAATATATATATCATACAAATTAAAAATATATTAAAAACTTACTTGTTTTTGATTGGTAACGTCCGTGTCTTTGCTTAGTTCCAGATTTCTTGATTTGGATAGTATTCCAATATTATTATTTCGAGGATGAATTCGGGAAATGGAATCAGCAATTTCTTTGAGTTTGCATTCGTTATCAAAATCTTCAATAAGTAATCTCCTGGTAACACATTCTGAAAAATACCTTATTAGATATATAATTCATTATATAGTAAACAAAGTTCACATACCCGTTGAGTCAGTTTGATCCCACCCTGAAGAAGACGTTTGCGACAAACTAGAACTAGACCTGTGTTGCTCAGATGATCTGAGTCGTACATTTTCTTCTGAGCGGACTTTTTCTCTAGTTGGTGGAGAATTAGGTTGATACACTAAAAAATTAAACAAAAATATATAAAAACTATTTAATAAACAATAATGTTGAGTGTTATAAAATAACTAAAAATAGTTATAAAACAATGAGATGATAGTTATTAATGTAAGTGGTATTACCACTTCGTTCGGTTTTGTTGGTCAGCACAGTGGCCACAATAACGGGTGCCGTCGATGAACGGGGTCTTTGGTCTCGTTCAGAAACAATTGGCGTTGAAGTCGCCCATCCTATTGTTTGTTGATGACTAGTCTGATTTGTACTCGTAGAAATAGTAGTGGCTAAAAAAAAGTTTCATATTTACAAAATTTATTCAATATACTATTTCTAAATCAAATTTTATATATCATGGAATGCGTGTTCATTGGTAAATTAAATAATATTAATTATATTAAAATTAATCCATTTTATTTTTTTATAAAGTCATTTTTTTACTATTTTTCGTTCGGGTCAATGAAAAATCTATAGGTTACCATAATATCAATGCAATGATACACAATATATTTATAATTGTGCGAACTATTTAGTTAAAATAATTGATAATAATAACATTGACTAATATTTAATCAATAGTTTACAAATATTGCGGTTATTTATTTTTACCATGATAATTGGATATATTTTTTTTATACTTAATTTGCTTTTGTTTTGATATGTTCATAAGTTAAGTTTATATGACCATTTTAAGTAGATTAATTAGTTGTCAATTGCATACTGTATATTTTGGGCTACTGTCCATAATGTTACTAAAATAAAATATTACCATATATTACATGGACATAGATGGGTTAAGCCACAGTATTTGTATGGCAAGAAGAACACAGTGAATAGTTTGGATAACAAACGACTGGACTTAAATATAAAATAGACAGTGTAACTCGTATTATCGTACAGGCGTTTTTCTAGAAAATACAGTTAGCTTTGTAATGTAAACGGTTTTTAGTGCGTTCAAGTATTTTATAGCATGTTTACCAAATATTTGACTTAAAATATTCACGGAAAGAATCACTTTTATTCAAAATTATGAAGACCTAAGTTTTTTAAGTCGATAAATACTAACTAATTTTTGTAGGCTTTAAAGTTTATAAAATATGTAAATGTTATGGAAATTGTTTTGGGTCCCGTTAGCTTAATATAGAATAATTCATGCATCAAAATTGTGTGGAAAGTTTCACACTTAAACATAATTGTAATAAAATCGTGCAAGCCCCGTGAAATTGTTATTACATTCGTTTGAAATCATTTGGACACGCGCGGTACATATTAATGTGTATGTCTACTGACTGATGTATACGGCGGGTCAAGTAAGAACGATATGCGACTCAACGTTTGAACTGGACCCGTGAGCTTTAGTTAATGGTCTGTTTCTGCAATTGTATTTAATAGTATAACATATATTTAACAATCATAATCACATAATAGTCGGTCACCGAACACGATATTAAAGAAGTGAATTTTTTTTGGTTATTATTTTTGAAACTTTCTATTTTGTTTTAACGCGATACGGGTGCTCGAGGCCCAAATAACCATACAAAGTATAAACTCTGCTAATTTGATGATAATAAAATTATGTTAAGCGTTTACTAGAGAAAACTATACATTTTATGAGTATTTTTGTGGTTAGTCGTAGAATATTGCGTAGATAACACGTTGTTGCTATTTATTTATACGCCTGCGATGTAAAAACACTAATGTAAAACAATTTTTACTATCTTTCTATTCAATCTAAACATATATTCAACTTAAAAGACAAGCTACTATAGCGTCCCGCCTAGAGCCATGTTTTTTATGCGTTCCTATAAAACAATACGTATTCACCATAATATTATTGTACTGCAATTTACCTTAGGTTGGTCAATTATTTTTTTTCGCTGTTTTTAACCGTTTAATTCTCACGTGTAAACGCCATTTATTACAGGGTAAACATACCAACATAAACTGAAAAAAAAAAACAACTGTTCGTTTTCATCTTTTGTAATAACATACTCGTATACAACTGATAGATGTAACTAGTCAATACTAGACGTAGTATTAGTAGTAATGGCGTAGTAGTAGCCGTTGTTATAACCAATGAGCAAACGTCTTTATTTTTTCAGGTCGAATACAGTCAAGTGTGTATAAGATGGGGTTGGGTTGTTTAAAATATTTCTTTTTAAACTCCACGATTAAAACATGTTTTAAACATCTAAATTAATAAAATAGCGCTTGTTTAAATCGTTTAAAACAATTGTTTTATATAAAATATCATCAAGAAAAATATCATGTTTAAAATTAATTATTTGATTGAAAAAAAAAACATTTTTTGCTCGACCCTAGTATAAGAGTAATTTTACTCGAAAATTATTAATGAATTCTATAAAATATACAAAAAATTTTACACGGATGACGTAAAGATGAACACATGATTTACCTGAAAAGGCATTCGTTGAAATTTATTAAATGTCAATTAATTTTGATTCAATAGACTACTTGAATGACAAAACGATTGACATAAACAACATTGTTGTTTTTACATAAAAACAATTCCCCAATTAACTCAGATTAAAAAATTGAACAGATTCATGTCACTTATATTATAGGACCCGTCTAAATTTGATGATGCTGTGACGGCACGATGACGAGTCTAATTATTGTTGTCGTGTTGATAGTGATGACCACAAAAACGAGTGTTAATGACTGTAACGTTTATTTTACGCGAAGACTTCTTCTTAACGAGACATTCATTTAAAAAAAAAAAAAAAAAAAAAATTTACTAACAATAAAAACCTGTTAATAATATTTCAACTGCTCACTGCTACCTATAGTACCTACACTTAATACAAAAAAAACGACAGCAGTAAAACTCTTCAACAAATGAGTTGGACAATAAACGCGTGCGCTTAAGTTTATTATTATTCGAAAAGACTTAAATGGTCGCAACACAAATTTGATCAACAAAGTAATGTTGCTAAAACAGCCAAAATACGAATTTTTTTTAAACATTTGTGTGTTTAAACATATTATGTTCAAACTATAGCACATTATGTTATATTCGGTAATAAACATCAATGAGAAATAGGAAACGTTTGATTTACCGTTAGCATAACCTGCAAGGCTTAGGGGGGCCCGTTGCGGCTCCTGAGATAAGAAGCATCTTGCTCTCACGTCAACGAGTGATGGTGTTTGCATCATTTCACTTTCTCTGACGATCAGCTAAAGAGACTGGGTAAAAAAGAAGAACAACAAGCAGACGACAACTGGCTTAAAGGAAGGAAGTATGCTGTTCCTGTCGCGACATACAATCAAAAGAGAGGAAGTATATAAGAAAAAAACAATATTTATAAAACAACTTTCTAAGCACATGTATATTATGTGATAAGTACGGTCAACATGGACAGCTTATAGGTGGTCACAATAATACCGGCTTTGACCACAACAACCCATCATACACATACGCACGATATATTAATTCTGCCCGCTCGATAATATTATCATTATATACATGAGAGGCAATGAATTGTGCACACACACACATAATCATATTTACAAGGTGATTGATTAACTATGCCTCACGCAATAACTTTAAAGGTATAAAACATATATTTTTTTCTTTTCAAAAATTAATAGTAACCTATAGAAAAAAAAATTGGGCCTATTACCATTTAAAATTGTATCAACTTATGTTATTTAAATGGAAGAATATGTGTTTAATTAGCTGAAAAATAAGAAAATAACTGTTCTATAACAATTTTTGAATCAGTATTTTAAAAGTTATTACTACTTTTATACTATGATGAGGGAATAAAGCGGGCCTTCGTATTTTTCTCTTTGGGCATATATGAGCTAAACTACTCCTACTGCCCTAGTATAAAAGTGCTAATATCTTTTAAAGTACTGGTTTAAAAGTTGTTACTGACCAGTCATATTCTAATCATTAAGCTAATTAAACATATACTTTTCCATTTAAAAAACTTAATTTGGTGCTACTTTAAATGGAAGAGAGAAGGTATACAACCATTTTTTTTTTTTTGAAAATTGTTGAACTATTGATACTATTGAATTCTTAAAAGAAAAAATTATAATAAGTTTTATAGTTTTAATGATATTGCGTGAGGTATAGTTAATCAATCACCTTGTGTACACAGAAGGACTAGTAGCATTAGTGCTTAATAGCAGCCGCAGTAGTAGTACAACTATAGCATGTAAAATACTTTTTATCTCCATCAATACTTTCTCTCTATATGTTTGCAAACATATAAATGACGAAAATAATGGTCAGAAAACGCACCTTCTCCTGTGCACGCATGACAACTATGTAAGTAGGTATTCCATTGACTAAACCACAGTGTGTATTAAAACTATTACAATAGCTCAGCAAAGATGAATCTGGCGATCCAATTTGAGAATAAACTTCCAATAACATATTGTTTCAATCACGTATTTTACTTAAGCACGATCCACGTGCACAACTACATCTGACTGCTGTAGTTTTGCGTGAATTAGATTTCTCACGATAAACCAAGACAATGTGGAAGAAAAATCTCTCCAAAAAAATATTTATTTACTTTCTTAGGTAACATAGGTGTAAGCTGAACCAATCGATTTGTTTACTTCGCAGTAACAATCATGTCTCGTTAAGCCTTAGGAAATAGGAAGAAATGGTAATTTTCAACTTCATTGGTTTATTACTTTTTGTTTTTATTTTTAATATACTATTAAATTTCTATCGATCATTTGTTGAATTAGAAATTGTTATTGTTTATACCCAGCCCAACCAAAATGATTAAAATTAAGAAAATTCGATATGTGTTTGAAAACGATTTCTAAAATTTATCAAACTAAAACGTTATACTGACATAAGCCACCGTTGTGTAGTCCTTTAAATGAACAGCAGTAGACACTCGGTCATTTGATTATATAACAACACTAATTACACGGTGTTGACGACGGTTAAGTCTCGACGCGTTTTCACGGTCAACTTGAGATTAAAGTGCCTGCTACCGCCTGAGTATAGGTCGAGCACGAAAATTCAGTTGTTTCCTGTTTACACGGGCTACTATGTCAGTGTTATTTGCATTTAAACGGATGACCATGTACGGTATATAATGCCGCAAAGATGCTCCCAAGACGGGTATCTCATCGGTACGTTACCGAGTACAGTTATCGTTGGGCGCCACCGGCTTCCTTGTGGACACTGTCCTTAGATTCCATACCTATAATGCATGCGTTTTACCGTTGCTCCCCGAAGGTGGCGGTCAACTCTTATCTATCGATGACAATAATTTTTCGTAATTGATATTAT